AGGAATACCTTTACCTACTTCACAAGTAGACTGTGAGGGTCTGCTGTTTCCGAGCAGGTCAGATTTGGGCAGAGGTAAAATCTTGGTACCTCTTGCTCTCTTCTGTCCCTTTGATCCACTTCAGGATGGGATAAAAAAAAAAAAAAAAGTGAAATCCTGAAAGCCCTATCCAAAAAATGGCTTCGAAGCCAATTTCCCAGCCGCGGTTTCCCACACGCCGCCCCCATTTTGCACATCAATGCTGCCTTTCCACCAGCGCCTCGGGCTGCCAGTGTTCTCCACCGAGACAGAGATAAACCCCTGCCCCAAAAGTGCTCCTGAGCTGGATTAGGAGGAGACCCTCCCTAAAAGGCCAGCTGGCAGTACTCGCAGGAGCCCCCGGCGCCTGCTCAAGGTGAAAGCGGCTTACGGCCCCGCACCGCCGCGACGCCCCCACAAGGCGAGCCCCATCTTAATCAGATCGGAGCTGTCCCGTCGACATGCGAAACTGTCTCACAGAAAGACAAAGCAGAGAGAGGCAATCCTATTCCTCCTGCTCAAACACAAATACGGCCCCGAAATAGCTTGCATTCCTTTCGCATGGCTGTCCCAGAAGTATTTCTGCTCAAGCTCTCAGGGTGCTACGGGCTTGTGGGCTGCAAGGGGGGCTTCTGAAGCCTTTGCTACGTTTAGGGGCTTTTTCTGTGTTGTTTTATTGCAACTGTCCCTGGGTTTCCTCTATAGAACAGTATTTCTGAGAGCAGCCGCGGCTGAAATGCATGGAAGTAGCTCTGCTATTTCTTCTGGCAAGGAAGCAGTGAAATGCAGCAGCTTCTGGGGTAGGATCCTGCAGGTGTTTGGCAGGTTAGGGCTGGAAACGCCTCCACACTCATTGTGCGGAAAAAATGCTCTGCACAGTCAAAAAGGGAAGCTGTGAAAGTGCAATGCAATTATCCTGCTGCAGCCAGAGCAGGATTTGCCTTGCTTCTCTCTTTGGAAATCCAGTGGGACCTCAATGACCACGTACGGGCAGAGCTTTGTGACACTGGGTCCTGTCCAAAATGTACCAGCTTTCTGTAGTTTTTCCCCCCACTGCCCGCCCATGAACATCGCGCTGCAGCTTGGGTCCCATAATGACGTCTATCGAGTTGTTTACAGTTTCCTGAAAAGTCCGGAGTTTCTTTGCTGGCTGAACAGAGGGACTCCAGTGCTCACGGCCTCCACTGCGGTCGTGCCTGTCCGCAGGTACCTGAGGGCAAGGGCAGCTCACCGGCTGCGCAGCTTTGCTTATTTCAAAGATCCCAATTAGACACTGTAATTGCTATTTCTAATGTGATTGGTGGAAGGAGAGCCCTGCTCTCGAGGGCTGGCCAAGTAGGGTTGCTGTGCCAGCAGAAACTCACCCCAAATACTTTGCCCTGCACAGCTGTTGGCTATAAACGGCCAAGCTTTGTAGGTGGGAAAACAAAGGAGCTGGATTTTTCTTGTGATTAACAGAAAGAGAACTCTACTTTTCTCTTTCCATCAGTTTGGGTTTCTGCATTTCTCTCCTGAACAGTTTGTAAGTGACGTTATTTGACCGTACAAAGTACGGGCCCCTACTTCTCTTTCTGCAGGCCTGATCTTCAGTGCCCACTTTTCACCAACTCCCTCCCACCTGTCCACCCTTTCCTCTTGTTGAGCTGCTTCCTTATCCCAAAGGATAGCTTTTTTTTTCCCAGCTCAGCCACCCTAAATCGCCTTCCACCAGTCAAAACCATGCTTTGGAAGAATGGCAGGACAGGGAACATGGAGCCGGAGGACACTCAAAAGAAGAGGCAGAAACGGGCAGAGCACCCATCCTGGAGAGGCAGGCTGGGAGGGAAGATGGTCACCACCACAGAAAGGCCATTTGAAGACCATCAGGCAAAAATCATGCTGCTAGCATACATTGTGACACCTGGATGATGATGGGTGACAGGCTTTGAACTTGGTCACATAGCCCACAGCAGTGGGAATGTTGGCCATCCTCACCCTCACAAGGTATTGCTTAAAATCGCACCATCAGGATACTTTTATGCCAAACTTCTTGTTAGAAAAACCCTGTAGAAAAGGTCTTTTGGGTGAGGTGGTAAATTACAGGCTGGACTTTGAAAACCTAACCAAGATAGCACTTCTCTGAGGGTGATCACCACAGCATACTGCTCCTACCAACAACCTATGAGGGACTTGGCCTGACTAAACACAGATTTAGTGCCTGGCAGAAGTCAGTGCATTTGCCACCTTGAGATGGGTCTCATTGCAGCATATCAGACAGCTTTGGCAACCCTAGTTGATATGTGTTAGCAAAGGCAGACGCATCTGCACAGCAGAGGTGACATCCTGATAGCCATAATGAGTACACACACAGCACGGATGGCAGGACCAGCAATTGCAGGGGAAGTCTGTGGTCATCTCAGCAGTGAACACTGCTCTCAGCTGCCTAATGAAGACATGTCTTCTGAAAGGGGCATCCTATGGTGAGGAGCTCAAGACACCACAGCAAGGATGTGTCAGTCATCGAGACACAGGGGTTTTACAATCATTGCCTAAATAGCAGTGTTTTTGTTGTCAGGACTGTCAGAGAAAATGTTCTCCTACAGGTAGTGGTGAGATGCATCTGAACAGGCTGGGTGAGGAGATCTAGGCTCCACCAAGTTTCGCAGAATTGTGTATTAACAACATTTTAGTCTTGAAAGAACAGGGGCAATTGAGTGTACGGCTCCTTAAACTCCCTAGGCCCCCATAACGGACATGCAGCGTGGATGGATGAAGGTCCACCAAAGACCTGCCAGGCTGCTTTGCTTTCCTGGGACATCAGCTGGGTTGCTCTAAGCCAGACGTATCTCCGCAGGGTGAGCGGGGGGGCACGCACTGCCACGGGCCACAATCCAGCAAGGCCAGGTCTCCTCCTAGTTTGTGAGATGCCAAACTCATGGTCTAGCGCAAAAGAGGACATTAAGAATATTGCTCCAGGTCTAAAACCAGCTGGGTCACCCACTGCACTCAGGAAATGTGGATTTTCCAGCACCAAATGGGACTGGATCTGGATCTTAGGCAGAAACTGGGCCGCGAACTAAAAGAAGCATCACAAAATCTTGTTTTTCTCTGTTAATCACTGCTCTTCCTACACCAAAGGGAAGATATTCAGAGTAGCTGGACACTGAGCATGGAATTCTCCCACCTGCAGTTAGAGGATCAAAAGTTACGTATACAAATCTAATCATTTAAATTCCCTTTACAGGTAATGGAGAGAGATTCAACCAGTTCCATGAATGGTTAATTCTAAGCTGCAAGAGCAACTGGGAACTGGCAGCTGAAAAATAAAATTGCTTCCTCTTACTGTTTTAAAGACTAAAAGCGAGTTTTAAGAGAATGACACCTGTTTATTTTAAAACCTCCAGAGACATGAGGCAATTCATTTCACTCACTAACTCTCTCTAAGATTGATGCTCGCGATTCGTTCAATAAATTGCTTAGTTTTAAGCTCAAAAGTACATTGAAAAGTTTATACGCTAGGTATCCAGGACCTTGGTTAGTTGACGCATTTTAAAGGAATTACAAACGACACTTTGCATATGTCAATTTAACAGATTTTTCATCCACAAGTAATAAGTGATTGTCTGCAACAAGCACAGAAGTTTTTATTGTTCATTACCTAAAAAGCACTTAAGAGATATGTAAGTTAGAAAACAAAATAGAGCTGCGGTAGGCTATATAGCAGCTTGAACAAATGTTTTCATAGAGTGCTCACCTGGTGAGAAAATAAAGCTGAAAGGCAGGAGCTAGCTGTAAATCCACATGTTTTACACACAGCTGTTTTACATGTTACAACCGAGGAGAACCAACCTTGGCTTATAGCTATGAACTATAAACGAAAGACACGATTAAAATCGAATCACTTAAATTAAGACTTCCTTCTTATTTCAAATCACGATTAAGATTCATAATTTAAACCACATCAATTCAAAACAGATCACCCTGCCATAAAATGACTTTTTGAACCATTTGTGAGAATTTAATGAGGGGGAAGAAAAGGAAGTTCTCCCATGGAACGTAGCTCGAGGGGGTTCACTGGTACCCGCACGACCCATCTCAGAAGCCCACAGGATTGCCTTGATTGAGAGTCTTCTGCAAGACCGGATGAGACATGGGCAACTAGGACGCATTTGCCTTGGACTGAGGAGCCCAGCTTTTAGTTGCCGCAGGAGAGTTTGGTGTGCTGACTGTGTTGTTTAGATGCGGTGCAGATCTGCGAGCCCTTGGAAAGGGGCACAGGGCTGTGACAGCACTGACATTTTGTAGCATTGCTTTGAGTGGGATCAGGGAACTGATCCATCTGAAAACTAAACCAATATTAAAGAGAAGAAAGAGGTGATTGTTTCAAAAAAAAAAAAAAGTGCATTTACTGCATGTTACTGCTTTCTCCACCTTTGCAAAGAGAAACCCACAGGAGCAAATAAGAGCAGGCTCCAAGACCCAATGGGGGTCACGCAGCATTGCACCAGCAGCTAGAGCTGGGAAAGCAGGTGAAAATCTGCATCAGAGAGAATGCTATTTTTGGAGCAGTGCGACTGCAGCCTCATTTAAGGATGCTCCATGTTAGCTAGCACATTGCCCACTAGAAAACTTGCATCCCTTAACTGTTGCTTAATCAATCAGAAGCATCCAACGAGGACGCCTTTAATCGCTTATTTGAAATAAGCTTTTTTTTAAAAAAAGAACACACTTCAGAAGCTTTACATGTATTGTTATAGCATTAGTTATATAACTAAACCTCAGACTAAAACAAGCATAAACATATTTTTTATACTGATCACACACCTTTAACTTCGTATAAAACTTGCTTTATAAGACACATATATAACATAGATACACGCTTACAAAACTTTCTGCAGCTCAGTCAAGAGTGCGTTTTTTTTTTCTTTAATACAACCAATTGGATACAATTTTACTGAATTCCAATCCAGTCAATGCAATGTCTTAAATCAAAGCCATCGAACGTATATGGCTGCTGGGGAAGTTGAAGCAGTCAGGGGCTGGAAGGGGCACGCCGAAGCCTCGCTGCAGGGAAGCGTTCCCTGGCGGCAGCTCCATACGTGGGCCCATGTCGGAGACCCACGCTGGTATCGCCCCAACTATTCTTTCCTGGCGATTCCCTTCCAGGGAAACAGCTGTTTCAATATAACCACTGCTAACTGCATCTGTGCTGGGCAATGCAGGGCATCGCTTTAACGACTCTGCTTTTTCTCACGGTCGAGGAACATAGCGCTGTGATAAGCAACACGGTGATGGCTACCTTGAAAGCTATCCCTTCTCCACAGGCCGAAACAATATCAGATCTCGCTTCATTTAAAATTTTCCTTCCTCTCCCCCCCAGTTTGCGTACGTGGTGGAATGTCTTATCTCCCCCTCCTGCCTTTAGACCCAAGGGAAAAGGAAAACAAATCTCTTTACTATTATGCTTCAAAGGAGGACTTTCTCCAAACCCTTCTGCAGAGTCTTTCAAATCGCCTTTGTTCAGGTTAAAAACCTGTCATTTTCCCTTTCACTGTGCCTAGTAGAAGCCATTTAGAATAAATGCCTGACAAGCTTGTCTCCTCATTTCTTACAGTAGCCAGCATGCAGATTTAATATATCTTTAAGTAGCCCAGCCTAATAACTCTAAGCCAATTTCTACCTCCTCCTCCAGTTAGATTTACTAAAATCAATTAAGGCAGAGAGAGAAAAGTTCTCCCTTTGCCATTAATAACTAGGGCCTTATTCTGCCCCTGCAAAACAACCTTCCTCCCCCTTGCAGCCCGTCTCATTATCCGTGTAGTATAAGACCGAAGCTCCCTACACATACTGTTTGCAAGACAGAGAAAAAGCCGCTGGATTAAGCCAGCCTTTATTAAGGATGCTAACAATATGGGCCAGACCTTGAAACAACATCTAAATGGGAATAACCAAGGGGGAAAAAAAAAGTTTATCTTTTCTGCTTTGGAGGAGATTTTTAACCCAGGTCTCCTCTGCTTATTTCTAAGGCTTCTGCCCTCTACCTGGCTTCAGACATATATACTACATTTAAAAACCCAAAGGTCATGTTCTTTTTATCCACCTTTCCTTTTTGCAGCCTGTAGGGTATACAGGGTGAGGACCCACCAGCACAAGTTTCTTCCAAAACCCCAAAGTCTAAGGGGTGCAACCTAGGGAAGCACGCCGCAATCAGTGCGCGCTCTCGGACGCCGCCTTCCAGCGGCCGCTTTCCTACGGACGCGCCTCTATGAGCGGGTGCTTTAGCAGCGCTGACCTCCTGCTCCCAAAAACAAGAGCTCTTTCCCATTCATTGCTGTGGCCTCCTGCTCTGCGCTGGGCCTGGAGGCTTTACGCTGAGTGGCACCGAGGCAATTTTAATAAGCCGTTCGTATTCTCCCTGCCGTCTTGCAACTCTTTGTCATCGCACTGTCACCGTCTGCAGGGCACGCAACGCCGAGCGCGCCTGGCCTGCGGCCAAGGCGGCTGCGACGTGGGCGTTATTTACGGGGCGGGAAGGTGCCTGCCACATACAGACCAGCGTGCGTTGCAAAAAAATCTGCAAAGCGGCTCGATTCAGTGACCAGAAAAACTTCAGGGAAAAGACGTGGGAGCCCCCTGAGGCAAATGAGCAATGGAGGACATTGGTGCCTTTGAGGCCACTGTCGTAACTTCATCTCTTGAAGGGGAGGGGGGTCTGCCTCTTTTGGGTAGATGAGGCATTTGTTGGCTCCCGGTGGCTCTCACCAATTTTCAGTACCCAGGGCTGACTCCAAAATACAGCATGGCTCAGACAAGTCAACGTGTACGTGTGAACCTCCCTCCCAGGAAGGTCACCCCAAATATCTCACCCCAGAGACCTAGCCTGCTCAGAGACCCACCTTTTCAGGAAACAATGCTGCCTCTGCTCCCCGGCACACCGCGCTTGATCGCGGCATGGCCCCTTGTGTTTTCCCAGCTCTGGAGCTAGAAACTGCTGCACATCCAGTCCTTAAACACAACGCGAGAAAGATCATGCCATGCAGCTGCTGGGCCAGATGCCCGACCTCTGCCAGCAAAACACATCTTCTTACAGAAAGCCCCGGAAGGTGAAACGGGAGGAGAACAGGACTGCTGGTCATTTTGCAGTGCTACCTCTCAATCTCAGACATCACCAGGCACGGGATAGAGATCCAGGACAGCCTTTGAAGCACAAATACGCTCCTCTTGCAGGTGCCTCTGAACAAAAACCCAGCAAGCACCACGATGGTGGGGTGATGGGCAGTTTTTTGGAGACCTCGTCACCAACACTGACTCATTAGCAAACCGCAAGGGGAGGACGGGGACTCTATTGCTGCGTTACCACTGGCATTTTGGAGGACTCCTCAAAACTCTCATTATTGCTAGCACTATTTGCTATTCAAAGCAGGCAGCTCACTTCAAGTGATCTAAATCATCCTTGAAGGAGCCTGGCTCTCTCTCTCAGCTCTGAGAGGAGGCGAGGACAGTGGTCCCCCCCTCAGCTGGAAGCATCAGGCCAGAGAGAAGAAAAATATTCATACATCAGCACGGCCCAGGTGGTCGTGTTTCAAAGGGGGCATTCATACGGCGGAGATGAGCAGTGCTGAGTCAGCAGCGCCTCCTGAATTACAGCACAGGGCCTGGCTCCAGATTTACGAGGCACCATGATAAAAGCCCTCTGAGCGCAGACTGCTGCTTCTCCACCCTCACCTTGCAGTGTCCCCGAGGGTGCTCCTGGCTGCAAGAAGTTGTTGCTGCCTCTGAGCTCCGTGCTCGCCACGATTTTGTGGATGCTACTTGCACCACAGCAGCCCTGGAAACTTCAGCCGAGACCAGCTCCTGGTCCCCGAGTACTCCCTGAGTGGTCTTGCCCCTAAACAGCCCATAATCTAAGTGGATAAATGCTAAATAGAGAAACTGAGGCACAGCCAGTCCCTTAAGCAGCATTTCAGCTCTTCAGTTCATTGCTGATCACACAGGATTTCGCTAAATAGCAGGCAAGTTTGTCTTTCTCTCCCCAGCCCTATCCACCTTCTTGGAAAGGATCATTCAACTCAAAAATAAATATTTTTGAATATGGACTAGTCCCAGTGCTTAGTCATCTTGACACTTGAGATGTCATTCACACTCTAGCTGCAATACAGGGAGAGCACTTCCCACCTGCCTCTTCCTCCCTCTTTTACATAGACCTGCATATTCCTCAGGCAGTTCAGGCAATTTTTTTTGGCTAAGCTTCCAAGTATCCCAGGCAAGGGTTTTTTTTAGGGAGACTGGTGGTGTATCCACAAATCCCACCATGCAGTGTGACCTGTCAGATTTTCACCCTACACAGAACCAGGCTCAGCTATGGCTGTCTCACAAGCTGCAACTGTGGTTGTCATCGAAAAGCCACCAGTCTGTCCCAGCAGTGGCTGCCCCGTGGTTTGGCAGAGCACCCTGGCTTGTGAGATGCTCAGTGCCAGCAAGAGAGACCACCATGAATCCCCTTGAGGTGGAAGGGCCAGAAGCAGCTGGAGGAACCCAAGAAGGACCTGGGAAAACGGGAGGTGGCGACGAGCCCATCATCGGGTGAGTGAGTGATAAGGAAGTGAGTTGTTTCCCCAATTGTTCACGTCTGAAGGCGTGGAGGAAAGAACTGTGAAAATACAGAGCACGCCAAACCCACAGAAAAAGGTCTGTGTCTTCTGCTTGTCCTAATGTGGCAGAAAAATGCAGGTTTCCTCCTGAGAGTGACTAATCCAGACTAACCCATGTGCTATCACTCAATGACCAACCAACGCTTCAGAATATGCTACACTCCCTGCAGTGGGCAATAAAGAATTGGGGGAAAACCAGAAACATGCTCTTTTTCATATCATATAGCACTGCTATCCTCTAATGTAACTGTGGAAACCCTCTGTCCCTAATGAAATTGCTAGCAAAGGCATCTTGTGGCAAGGAGCTGCACAAATAACTGAGCACCCTGGCAAAGTCTACCTCATGGGAATCAAAAGCCTACCGCTTTCAATACTATTGGTCACCACTTTATTCTTGCATTATAATTATCTGGGTTATCTGGGACATTTAACCCCAAATCAGCTGCTGCAGTTCAGCCAGCTGAACTCAACGGTGGCTCATTTCAATGTGCCGGGTGGGGAACCGTAGCCAATATTTGCTATTTAAGCTTATTACACACTAGCAGCCGTAACTACCAGCAAGACTTCTAGGGAAGATGGAGCTGTCAGATACTGTGCAAAGGAAGCTCTGGTGAATCTGAGGCTTAAGTTATTGCAAGGAGGATCACAGAGAGACCCAAACACAGGGTTTGGGCCCTGTCAGGCTCAAAACATTGGTTTTGGCCCCAGCTGCTCAGCCTTACTGATGGTTTTGCAGGAATTAAAAACAGGAAGGTGCACCCTGCTCAGAGTCTTCTGCATCGTGTCCAGCCTTGCTGGGGAGGCAGAGACTCTGTGGATCTTGGGAGCCTGACAATCCCAAACCTCTGCAGCGTGAGACTCTCAGGATAGCCCTGGCGAAGTGCAGGGAGCTGACGACGGGGAGAGGGAGAACAACAAAAACCTGACGATGACGTGCATCACTGTGAATGAAAAAAAGCAAGACTGGTTGTGAACTCGCCGTGAAGGAGAGGCATTACAAGAATTCAGGAACAGCAGCCTTGCCTGGAGAAGGGGTCAGCTACAGAAGCAGCCATGTAGGACAGCAGCCCATGCAACCTGGCTTTCAACAAGGCAGTTAGTAGAAGCATGCAAAGATGTTCTGGAGACGCTTTGCTAGATTTCACATGCACGCAGAGAGCAAACCACACGGCCGCCTAGGCTCCTCCAGAGTTCAAATCGTCCCACGGCACTGGGATCCAGGCAGATCCAAGCGCAGCCACCTGCGACGCAAGCAGTAGCCCCGCACGCCGCTGGACAGTGGCCCTGTCTGCCCTGCGGGGCTGGGCTTTCCACCTCTGCGCAGCCCACCATCAGCTCTGCAATCTGCAAGGGGCGAGCAGATATTTCCAGCCAGGCTCCTGTCACCGCTGACATGAGCCATCACCCGCCTCATCATCATAAGCCTTTTAAGTAACTCTGGAATTAAAAATCAGTGTA